CCTTATAAAGCTTCTTCCGCGTACAAACTCGAAATATCATTGACTAGCACTCTGTCCAAATGTGGTGGAATTATCTTGGGTGGACGTGAGTGAGCCTGGTATTTGTCATCAACGGCAATGGTACAAAAAACGAGTTCAATAGTATCCAATCATTCGAAATGATAAGATTTTTCATGCATCCACATTCCACCATATGCAAAAGCACTTGGTAAAGACCGTTCATGTCCCCTTAATCATTAACACACTGATGACATGTTTGATACAAACTAATTAATGCATAGATAAGACAATGAATAAGATTTTAACTTCTTCTTTTTTATTAATATTGTCAAGTAGTGTCTAACATACCATATCATACATGCAACAATTATTTTATGGTGGCAAATTAAAAGCATGTCCTAAAAACTAGAATACAAAGCCACATTTCTTTTGACCCTCCCCAAATTGTCCGGTGAGCACACCAGTATTTCCAAGCTTTACCATTAGAGTTGCGAAATCTTTTGAATAGAGAAATGGATCCATACTATAGTCCTTGACCATTGCAACAGCCTTTGGATCTCCAAATAAAGCTTGATCTGATTCAAGAATGCCTTCAGCAGGTTTTTATAGTACATATTATCGAACCTGTATGTGCTCTGCGAGTTGAGAAGAGTAATCTTTCTGTTTGATGCATCAGCATGAGAACTAGTGCTCTGCAAGTTCGAGAGAAATGAAGAATCAAGCATAGGATCTGGCTTTCCAGAACCTTTGAAATTGAAGAGTCTCCTCTTGAAAGTGAAGCATTGAGCAAAACCAGTAGCATGTGCTCCTATAAATAAAAAAGAATACGATTAGAACTAAGACTTATTCACAACAAAGTTTGGAGACGGATATGTGAATTCTTTTTCTCTTTTCCATCGTGTCACAACTTGCAAGAAAGTGATTTTGCTCATTATTTCATCTGTAATTCTCCTCTTTATTCCCACAAAGATGGAAAGATACCAATTTTTACCAACATCATTCTAGTATCTAAATAACTACATTTTAATTGAAAAGCTTATTTTTCAAGCTTCTTTATCTTGATATTACCAGGAAACAAAAATTAAGAAGTACCTGAAAGAACTATAGCATCCTTCAAATCAAGACCCTTGGCTTCAAACTATAGCAATGATATTCTCTAGAGGCTCAAAAGGCGATGCTAACTGTTCATTTGCTGCTTTCTCACTTGCCGTTAATCCATCTTGCCTACCTAAAGCAACAGGCCAATAAGGCCCTCCTGACTATACCAACCAAACAGTAAATTTGTAATCATCCAAGTTCATCAATCTTGCAATAAAGTAACCTACCACTGAATCACCTCGTCTAAAAGATTAAATTGCTAGAGAGGGGGCATGTTTATTCAATTAAATTTAGTCCTCAACATGACCCCTCACATGTGGACCGAATTCATTTTTTATCAAAGCTCACAACTTTGATAAATGGGTGGTGGCAAGATTTGAACCCGCAACCTCTTTCTTATCTGGTACCACGACGAACCACCTCATCTAATAGCTGTTGGGAGGAGATCAAACTGATTAGCTCAGCAGTCAACAACAAAAATATATATATACTGAAAAGAAACAAGAAAACGAACTGAAGAAGAAACAAAAATAAACTGCAATTAAAACGTATCTTTTATTCATAAAAGCCCTTGGGCCAGATCACAAACTGCAGTGCTTCAATCTCATGAATAAACCACCGTTCGAATCACAATCAAACCCCAAAGTAAGATTACAAAAGGATGACACTCAGACAAACCCTTTATATCACACAAATGAGATCTCCCTTCACAATACAACATGGTTCACGCAAGAACCAAACACTCAACTCAATGAAATCACACAAGATTACAATAATGAGTGAAGAAAATCATAAATCAAAAAGTGTTTTGATTTCTAAGAAACAAAGGAGATAACTCTCAAGAACGGCGCAGAGAACACGAGCAAATGGAAGAATCTCGAAGCCAAGTGTGCTGCTCAAACACTAGAAGCCCCCTCTAAATGAGTCACTCAACAGTCACCAATCCAACGGTGTTGGAGGCGACATGTGGTGACACCTGAGGCGTCCAAAATCAGGTAAGTGAAAACACAACTTTAAGCCATTCTTCAAAACACGTTTCTTGCACCAGGTATAAACAAAACAGAAATGAGCTGGGCTTCAATTTCTAGTTGGGCCAACAAATTCTGCCCAATGGGTATTTGCATCATTGTGCCATTTTTCCCTTCAATAGCTTAGGCCGTTAGATAGAGGACACATTTATTCATGTAAATTCAATCTTCTATGCAACTTACCAAAAACAACAGCTTCTCTAGCTGCAATAGTCAGTATGTCAACACAAGATACAACTGCTGGGCAGGATCTTTCTATGTCTGCCTTTATACCGAATAACTTCAAATCCTCAAACTGAATGGCGATCGAATAAAGCATTCTTCTCCCCCTTGAAATCTTGAGTATCATCAAGAAGAACTGAGCCATCACATCCCTAGGCCAAGCAAAGGCATTGCACATTAACCTTAAAATTTATCAGGCAGAGGAGCCTGAGGAGGGCACAAACTATAGCTGCATAGTATAACACGATTTAAAAATCTTCATTTCTGATGTCTGGTTTCAGGTTGCGTAGTTTTAAAGCTACAAAAGGAGAGGAAACATACTAATTATCATGAAATATAAGGCAGAACTTATTGAAGGATTACAAAAGAGGCATTGATTGTATCTTCATTTTCGCAAGAGTAACACAATTTCTTGAAAGTTTGTTAAATCTGCTTCACTCCTTACCGTGTCTAAAATTTTATTCCCTTCCTAAATCTCTTCATCAAAAACAAAATCACATTTTCTGAATATTGATTTTCCTTCAAAACTGATAACTTGTGTGATACTAAAGCATATATAGTCCAACTATAGGCAATTTGGCGGAGTAAAATGTCTAACTGCCATCCAAAAAAATAATTGATACATGCAAAAACAGTTTTGACTCGTTAAAATTAGGCAAGAAGGCTTCATGGATAGACTCAGTAGAAGAATTACATTCACACAACAGTCATAAAAATGTAAACGAAGAAGGGATACGAATAAAAAGGAATGAAATGGCCCATGCAGGTCTCGAACCTGCGACCTTCGCGTTATTAGCACGACGCTCTAACCAACTGAGCTAATAGGCCAATTGTTATGTGCAGCTTAATTATTATAATTTATAAGTTGTTTTGAACGTACAATTTGTTTTTAGTTTTGAGCTAAAAAATTCCTTTGGATAAAAATAGAAACATATAAAACTAAAAATGATTATCCGTGTGAATGTTTGGTTTATTAAAAAGGTTAAATAGAGATATTTAATTATGAAGGAAGAGATAATGTTAGTGAGATAAGAGCAGAGGTGTGAAAATGAACCCGATGGTCCAAGCCCATCAGACGTGAGCTAGCTAGCCAGCCAACCAGCTCTACAGGAACTAGGCCTGCCCGAGAAAGCTTATTAGCTTAAAAAAAATTTAAGGGAAAAATTCATTTCTCCTACTTTATCTTTACCCTATTTCAAAAATAACAAAACAACTTTCACATTTCAAAAATCAGATTTTTAAACCTATACATACACATAAATATAAATACATAAAAGGATATAAATAAATAAAATTAACCCACCCCCACCTCCACCACCCC